ACAAGGAACGATGCATGCCTTGGTGAGTCTAGAGGAGTAAGCACATCAAAGATAAGGTGATAATGTAGTGATTGCGCAGGCGAGCTGGTGGATGTTAACCATTTTGTTCTTAGCCCGAGACTGAGGCAGGAAAAGAGGAAAGTTTCGAAGTAGAAGAAAAATGAATAGTCGAAGACACGTCTCTAACACAGCTAAAGACAAGTTTATTTGGTCACCTTCTTATATACACTCCACAAACTTCACCACAGCACCTTCCCGATCTCGAAAGTCAAAAGATAACAAAGGTCTCACATCTTTCCACCACAATTGTCAAACGACCTTGACGTTTTCCACAAAGCAATGAACAATAGCTCCCCTCATCCGGAAGACACTTGTCTGAATCCTTCGCGTACACAGTACACTCTCTCCCTCTACTCTCCGACCCATAATCACAAAGCATCCCGGTAACAGAAGATATCAACCATGTTGAATATACCTGAGACTGGGGTAGAAAAACATAAAAGTCGAAGAAACAGAACGGGACAGGACGACGTCGTCCTGTCCCGTTCTGTTTCTTCGACTTTTATGTTTTTCTACCCCAGTCTCAGGTATATTCAACATGGTTAACATCCACCAGCTCGCCTGCACCCTTACTATTGTATCTCAGAAGATATCAATCCACGTGATACACAAAGGAAGAAACCACTTACACCTTCACATTCAACAAGCACTTCACAAAACTTTCAAATCCGCAAGAATGATTTTGCGCTGCTGCTAAGCTGTAACGACACCTGACTAATGCAGTTGCCCATTGATTTCATTCTTATTGTTTCTTTTACAACCCTTTTGATGTCGTTTAACTCCCTGTGTATTATCTCTGTTTCAGACCAGTGGGGTATACAATTATTGCATTCTTGAACATGTTTCGCTATTTCCGAATTGGCAACGTTGTTTTTGACATTCCTTTTGTGTTCAGTCAATCTGTCATTTATACACCTTGACGTCTGCCCCACATATTTAAAGCCACATTCCAGGGGGATTTCATATACCACTCCATTACCACACGGAATAGACTTTTCTCGATGCGTTTTTGCGCATTCCCTTACACTTTTGTGGAAGGGTGTGAGCTTGTTCAACTTATAATCCGAACTAAAAACCAGATCTACATTGAACTTCTTGGCACAAGCCTTTAAGTTGTGAGAAATTTTGTGATAAAATGGAATTACTATAGTTCTATTTTTTGGCCTTTGCTTTGATTCTCCTGTACATTTGTTTGCGAATTAAACGGATAACTGCTTCCTTACGAATTCATCCTCATAACCAGCACCGTTTAGCCTTCTCCACTGTCTTTCTACCAATTCGGCCAAGAAATGTGTACATGATCTTTCCATTGCATTTGTGATTAAAGACTTTACAATACCCGCTTTCACTGTTTTTGAATGGCAACTCTTTTTTGACAGCAGCGGTTTTACGTTTTCTTTTCCATATTCCCAACATAGCACTTTTTCATTGTGAATCATAAGTTCTAAGAACTGCAGTCTACCATTCGTAGGTCGTTCGACCGTAAACTTCAGTTCCGGGGCTGCCGATCTGATCAATGCTTCCAGAGTTTCAGATAATCCCTCCCGAAAAGAACAGATCAAAATGTCATCGACATATCTTTTCACAAAACAGGACTCCTGTTCACAAAATCCAGGCGGTCGGTGTCGTTGATGATGTGGTTGCACATGAGAAGGGGATCAAGCCTGCTTCAGGTATAATCAATGATAATGTAGTGATTGCGCAGGCGAGCTGGTGGATGTTAACCCCTGGATTTGTCAAGCGGTAGCAGTACTGGACCGGCTGGGATGTCGACTGGCGGAGCTGGAGGCCGAGGTTGCATATATCGGCATCTGCCTTCGAAAAAGATTCGTGGACCCTTCTGCATTCAAACACCTGTCGGCATCGGGGGGCCATTGGAGCGGAAAGAAGAGGATCCTCAAGGCGTACAGAGAAGCCTCAAGTCACCGGATCAAAGAAATACGCAGCGCTTCCGAAAGACTTTGGGAGCTCCTGGTGGGAGGTGATTTCAAGCGGCAGAGAGACTACATCCTTTGGAACAGCATCAGGAGGACAATTTTCGACCGAATGTGGTGTTCTGGCGAAAGCATGTTCTGGATAGTATTAAGATGAGATCTCAGGAGGGAAGGGCTAGAGAGTCACGGTTTTATAGTTTTTTCGATCGGATGTGTGGATCGTCTGTTATCAACCCGGGTGGCGTAATGTTGTCAGGGAAGACGCAAGAAGTCTTGGAAAAGGGGCCGAAGTTTTGTATTGATGTAAAACCGTCAAGGGTGGATGTTTTTTCATCCATACAGTCGGTTGCGAGAGGAGTCAGGCATGAAGAAAAAGCGGCGTTTATTGAACAGGCTGTTGGCAGAATGGAAAACGTAATGGGGAATGAATACCCAAATGAGAAAAGGAATTTTCGTGTCGTCAACTCGGTTAGAAAGGAGTTAGAGGATCGTTCATTACAATTGCTACAAACGGATAAATCCGGTAGGTTCGCGGTTATTTCAAAATCGTCATTTCAAACGAAAACAGGCGACGCGATGGAATCCTTGTTTCATGAATGGAGTGGAAACATCGGAAAGTTAAAGAAAAATATAGTTTCCATTTTAGAGGAAGACGAATTTGAAGATGTAGCAAAGACTATGTTAAATTTGTCGAACTCAGCGTTGAGCGTAAAATTCTTCCTTAAGGATCATAATCCGGAGATGCCACTTAGAGTAGTGATCAATGCGAATGGGACTTGGCAGAAGGTAGTCTCCGTGTTTCTTCAAAAAGGTTTAAAACATGCAATTCTAGATAAGTCTTTGTCACTGAGAAATTCGAGTGAGTTGATCACAATACTCGATGATCATCATGGAAAGGAAGGAGATGTGTTGTCAATGGACATCAAGGATATTTATTACTCATTAGAGAAGAGCCGGCTGATGGAAAGGGTAAAAGGGGTGCTTGAAATGAATTTGGTGAGGTTCCAATCGCGGTCAGGCATTTCGGTGTACAGTTTTCTTGCCATTCTTGATTATTACTTGCAGTCAACGATTGTAGAGTATGAAGGGAAAAAGTATTTACAGAAAGAGGGAGTATGCATTGGGTCGAGTGTCGCACCGGCGTTAGCGGAAATTTACCTTAATTCTTTGGATTGTATTGTATCTTATAGATTGCAGGAGATGACGTCGGAGTCCTGTTTTGTGAAAAGATATGTCGATGACATTTTGATCTGTTCTTTTCGGGAGGGATTATCTGACACTCTGGAAGCATTGATCAGATCGGCAGCCCCGGAACTGAAGTTTACGGTCGAACGACCTACGAATGGTAGACTGCAGTTCTTAGAACTTATGATTCACAATGAAAAAGGGCTATGTTGGGAATATGGAAAAGAAAACGCAAAACCGCTGCTGTCAAAAAAGAGTTGCCATTCAAAAACAGTGAAAGCGGGTATTGTAAAGTCTTTAATCACAAATGCAATGAAAAGATCATGTACACATTTCTTGGCCGAATTGGTAGAAAGACAGTGGAGAAGGCTAAACGGTGCTGGTTATGAGGATGAATTCGTAAGGAAGCAGTTATCCGTTTAATTCGCAAACAAATGTACAGGAGAACCAAAGCAAAGGCCAAAAAATAGAACTATTGTAATTCCATTTTATCACAAAATTTCTCACAACTTAAAGGCTTGTGCCAAGAAGTTCAATGTAGATCTGGTTTTTAGCTCGGATTATAAGTTGAGCAAGCTCACACCCTTCCACAAAAGTGTAAGGGAATGCGCAAAAACGCATCGAGAAAAGTCTATTCCGTGTGGTAGTGGAGTGGTATATGAAATCCCCCTGGAATGTGGCTTTAAATATGTGGGGCAGACGTCAAGGTGTATAAATGACAGATTGACTGAACACAAAAGGAATGTCAAAAACAACGTTGCCAATTCGGAAATAGCGAAACATGTTCAAGAATGTAATAATTGTATACCCCACTGGTCTGAAACAGAGATAATACACAGGGAGGTAAACGACATCAAAAGGGTTGTAAAAGAAACAATAAGAATGAAATCAATGGGCAACTGCATTAGTCAGGTGTCGTTACAGCTTAACAGCAGCGGAAAATCATTCTTGCGGATTTGAAAGTTTTGTGAAGTGCTTGTTGAATGTGAAGGTGTAAGCGGTTTCTTCGTTTGTGTATCACGTGGATTGATATCTTCTGTTACTGGGATGCTTTGTGATTATGGGTCGGAGAGTAGAGGGAGAGAGTGTACTGTGTACGCGAAGGATTCAGACAAGTGTCTTCCGGATGAGGGGAGCTATTGTTCATTGCTTTGTGGAAAACGTCAAGGTCGTTTGACAATTGTGGTGGAAAGATGTGAGACCTTTGTTATCTTTTGACTTTCGAGATCGGGAAAGTGCTGTGGTGAAGTTTGTGGAGTGTATATAAGAAGGTGACCAAATAAACTTGTCTTTAGCTGTGTTAGAGACGTGTCTTCGACTATTCATTTTTCTTCTACTTCGAAACTTTCCTCTTTTCCTGCCTCAGTCTCGGGCTAAGAACAAAATGGTAAAGATAAGGTGTTTACATTTTTTTTTAATCAAGAGCGAAAGCTACGTGCGCATACTAGTCCTTTTATAAGCATATATGTCACTATTGAGAAGATCATGCAAGGGTCCAGTTGTGCAAGGTAAAATAAACTCAACATGCCAGCGGTATATACAGCTCTGTCAAGATTAGCAGCTATCTGATTTTATACACGTCCTTCCTCGTCCGATTTCACGGTTTAGCGATGATGAGCACTCATAGCTATTTTATCCCCACGTCGCGAAGCAAGATCAGATACTGTCTATTTCAAATAGACCATGAGGATGCATTAAAAAAGACATTTACAGGGGTATAAGCCATCTGCTAAAAGTTGACGTTCTATTTTTCTTTTACCACGTGTGTGACGTCTAAAAACTGTCTATAAGCTCCATCGTAAAGTGCGGCAACTTTCTTACCCGCCTTGGAAGCGATGCTCCGTAGGCTGTAGTTGTCGAAGTCGAAAATGTACGTCTGCGTTTCGATCGGCTTGCCCAGCTGAAAGCACAGAGAAGACGTTGGTCATTCAGAACTGGTTGCCCTGGACACGAGCCACTACAGTGATGCATAGACGGAGAAGAAAACACTTTGGTCAAGTTGGAGAACTGCTAGTGTACCGGGGCACGTTATTTATTTCGGCACCTCAATAAAAGGAGAAAGTATCATTTCCCACGTATTACGATGATACATTTCACCTTACAATGAACCTCAGCCGACCGGTGTGCCATCACAGCCAATCAAGCGCTGTGGCCATATCACGTAACTACGCGCCCCGCGTGTCGCTGCTCCACCTACGGAAGTCACGCGACAATCACATGACACGATATTAACATTGAAAGACCGTAGCATCCTTGCGGTACATCATCATAAAGTTGCGTTCATGCGGCAGAAACATATATATATATATGTGTGAACGGGTAACCTGGTGTATTTATTCATTTTGTTATTCTTAAGGCCAAAGGCATTACCAAGGGGAGTGGGTTGCATAGGTAAAAAGCATTAAAAAAGAGCAAAACACGCGAAAATATTGTACGTTAGTTGGGGTTTCTTTAAAACAAAAGTTTAGCAGCGGCAGTTTGGAAATTGTCGATATCGGAAATTTCGGTGATGGCTCGTGGAAGCTCATCGTTCACGAAGACATTGATTTCGCCTCATACTGTTCCAGAAAGCCCGAACTTGACTTTTTTTATCAGGATTATGCTTCCAAACCCTGAGAGACTCAGTTGTGAGGGGAGTGGACGCCGTTCCTGAAGACATTTCTGTCATCAGACCCCATTTCAGAAAACACATTAATTATGTCTTAATAGGTCCTTTTCAGAGGTCTGCGCCATCCAAGCACCTGCTGCGAAAACTATCAAAGTCCACCATCCTTTGGCCACGTACTCTAAGCTTGTATAGGAGAGGGGGGTTGCGTTAGCGTTCCGTGTCAACTCGGTTCAGGACGTGTCAAAAACGAGTGCCGCATCAGCGTTCAGCGGCGACTCTCATTGAATCACACACCTCGTGCCCAGGAAACGGCGATCGCAAATGTTGCTTGATGGGGTGATGAAAAGTGTCTATGAGGTTCATCGACGGATTGGACAACGTAATCCCCACTCCCTCGAAATGTCTGTCTTCATTGAAAAGCTATAACAGCTAAAAGTATACGTGTTCATCTTTTTCTTTGCGTTCCCCTCCTGCCTTCAAATTTTACCAGCAGAGAAACCACCCGGACAGAAATGTCTTTATACGCCACTGTTCCGCGGCGTCCTTTTATAAACCTACGTGTCACCGGTGACAAGACCCACAGTTGACGAACCTTCTCGGACTGCGCCTTGAGGTCTTGCTCGATTACCTCGAAGGACCTGATGACGTGTTTTATCATGTCTGTCTTGGTCACACTCATCAGCATTCCTGCGCAAGGGTAAACATCGTACGCTGAAACGTCATCTTGAGATTACTAGCATTGGCGATTCAATGCAAGAACAGCTTTACTATTTTGTTAAGTCGGTAGGAGTGAATCTTAGCCGCAATACCATCACTCTTGTCAAGCATGTGATAAACGGTGCCCTATATTCTTCGCATCAATGCCTTCATTTTGTTGCGGGTTTAGAATAGCAGGACAAGCTCGATCCTTCCACAAATTCCTAGATTCTTTCGACCTTACCAGAGCTAGTACTGGAGAGGAGATAGCCACCAATCACGGAGAACAGAGAGCTTTCTGGGAGGGGCTTTGGCTATCCTTAACCGGTGGGACTAGATGGTAACCAGTAACACGCCTCGGTTTAAGCTGGTAACCGCTTAAATAGTTGTTAAAACCTAAGTGGAGAGCAAATCGTCTGCTGCTGGCGCAACGGTTGCGGTGACGTCAAAACGACCCCGAGTTTTGATTGGCTTTGATTGAAAAAATAGTGGGTAGACCTAGATGCCTTGAGATCTACCCACTATTGTTCTTTAGTCAGCCAATAGGAGCTCGGCTTTCTGACATCATCGCAACCCGTGTACAAGAAGCAGACGAACTTGCATTCTGCATAATGAAGTCTACCCGCATCTTGACGCCCCAAAATAAGAAGCTGAGGGCAGGAGTTCTTGAAAAATTGGGCTTCTATGCATGCTTCTGAGTGCAAAGTAGCGCGGAGTACAAAACTGCAGTCAGAAACTTTTATCCAAATATGCCTCATAAAAATTTGCCAAATAGTTTTGTTTTATTTATAAAATTCTTCCATGCCTATATTTGATTTTGTTTATGGCCCCGAGCTCGGACTACCTTAAGTATTAGCGATTGTGTGAAGTAACACAACAATACAGCACTTATAAAATAAAAGGAATTGAACGGAAAGTTTTCAGGTGTTCTGTGGCCTTCAACACTGTTTTTTAAAGTCAGACCAATAAGTAAGTTATCATTTATCAATAAGTTCTGGAAATAATATTCGTCTTTTTTTATCTCCGAAATTCGCGACTTTTAAATCATTGTTTTTATATAAATTACATCAATTTCTAATCGCCACTAGGAAATAGAACTCACCATAGAACTGGCTGGTTATCAGCCTATACAGGTGTAATTATTGTAATTGTTAACTAATAAATAACTTACGTGACTTACTGCAAGCATAAAGCAACGAGTGTAATGGTGCCGAAAGATGTGTTTAACTAAAAAAAGGCATTTCTACGGTAGACACAAACTTTGATATCAACTTCAAAATAGTTTGCAAGGAAGTAGCAAAGTTTAACAATGACGTCACTTATGTTTAAATAATATATGTTGCCAGGACAAATTGATTTCGCACAATCGCACGATGTAGGACACAAGACATATTTTTGAAAACATTACTCAGATATGTAGTGTTGTTTGTAGTTCAATAAATATCTCGTCTGCTCTATTCACGACTCAAGTGGCGTGCGTATAATCCCCGTTTCTTTGTTCCCCATCTTCGCCGCGATGCCGCCGAAGTTTTCGCTGCATGCACACTTCAAGAGGTGTGCGCTCCTGAGTTCTAAAGGTCACATCCTTCGCATCAGGCGCCGTCGTCTTTTCTGAAGTCGGGAATACTGCGGCTCTTGGTCGAGTGTCACGTACCAATGGAAAACCAATCGTTTTTAAGCAACACACTTCCCAGTTTTCTCCCTTCTCAGTCCTCCTCCTCTCCTTCTTTACAAAGTGGTCTCTGTGTCGGTTTTTCTTTACCTAATATTTCACAAGTAAACTATTTTTTCCGATTTATAGTTTGCCCTTTTCTTCCTGCTCTTCCTCCTAGATACTCGCAATCTACATGCGCCTGGAAATACGCTAAAACACAACCATACACAAAAAAAAAGACAAACAAAAAAGAAGAAAAATTTGCGTAATTGGAAGCACACAATTAACAAGTTCGAATGCAAGCGATTCGGCTTAAATTACACAAGATAGTGAACAGAACGCAAGGGCGCAGTGAGCTGGTGCCACATCAAACATTCTCGGGTTTTTAACTAAAATATGATGTACGCGAAATATTCTCCCAGACTAGAAAAAACACGCACAAAAATGAGACATCGATTTTGATTGCGTTTTTTGCGTTTTCTTTGTGTTTTCTCGTCGTTGAGTGCAACATGAACTTACTGAGCGGCTCCCCTAGTCGCGACACGTAAAAACTGCAAAAACATCCTTGAGGCGCCAGCGAGAAAATACAAAGAAGTTGCATTTCGAATCAAAAGAGCGGTTCCCAGCGCCGCGAAAGCAGCCGCGCAGTATTCTTTTTTTAACTATTTACTAGACAAGATAATGTGTCCCCTCCTCAAAGCGCATGCTCAGAAGGAGCACTCACAAATCCCCTGACAAGAATGATCATCCTGGTAGAGTCGCATTTACGTTGCGAAAGTAACGCTCAGAAGTAACGGACTCGTGCAGTCAGGCCGCTCAGTAAGTTCATGTCAGGTATGGAAACTTTTGGGCGGAGGGATCAATCTAAACGGGGTGGTTTGTCCAGCTTGGTTCCCCAGAGAGCCTGAAGCTTATCTAACACAAGGCTTGCGGGATGACTTCTTTACGGCAACTTTCTTGCGCGATCAAATGAAGCCTAGATGACAAAGCCTTTGATCCTTAAATGTCATCACTGGCGAATCCACGCAGTGCCAATTAGCCTACGTGCCAGCAACGCCGCGTTGTGCAGCGTCTGACGAAGGGCGCGACGCTCGCACGCGGCGACGCCAAGGCGGTTTCGTCTGCCACCTTGGGGCGATCCTTGTTGAGACGTGCATGCCGCCTAGCCCTCGGGGTGGACCGGGGATTCCCTGAGGATGTCGTCATACGCAGGCCTTGTCTTCTAGCTGGCAGTCACCGAGCACGCCAAACAAGGCGGGCAGGAGTGCTGCGCGAGCATTCCGCTTGGACTCGGGTAAAATTGGTGTTTCACCGACTAAACACGAGCTCGAGCCAAACGGTAACAGAACGTTTGGCTACCTCAGCCCAGCGCTGCGACAGAAACATATGTCATGTTTCTGGTACGCTATGGTTGGAACTCCGCCACCATAGGGTGCTCAAAATCTCTTACGAGAGCGTCAGCCGTATCCGACTCGGCCCTTACCCTTGAGGTCGCACCCTCCGAAGGGTATGAGCCAGACGGGGTGTCCTTCCCGGTCGTGTCCTATCATGCCGCCGGGGTAGTACTTGCGGAGAACCTGGACACGGGAGACGGGGAACAGAACATTTTGTAGATAAATGAGGTCTTATTAGGTATGCATAGAGGCAAAGGGAATGACCGCTAGGTAGTCACGACCAGGTTGCGGTTTTCCGTGATAGCTCACAACCTAGCGAAAAGACGTTGCGTTTTCGTGGTAATATGCGCGCTAGAGGCTCGAACGAAGCCCGAAAGTTATAAGAGGAAAGAAATAAGTGATAAGAAGTAAGACCTCTAAAAATCATCCAGCTTTGAGCGACAAAAAAAAGCATGCCGTTTGGACGGAGATGTTAAGACCAAACTGTTGGAAACCTCTTTTACGCGCGTGATCAGCCACAAAAATATGTTTGTAAACAGGAGGTAGTGGGGATTACTAAATGCTGTTGGCAGAGAGCCGATTCGTTTTGCTAAACAAATAGTCAGTGTGAGTGACGTCAACGAGAGTCCTAAAACTGACTACAGATAAGTGCTCCCTTTAACATACGATGGAGCCCAACGGACGCCATCGAGCAATCCCAGCGAATTAGGTGTTCAGACCGCACCACGTGGTATCGGGCAGTGCATGTCGCAGCTCTCAGCCGGAATGGCGTGCCACTCGCTCTTACCGCACGATTGGCTGAGAAATGGACGAAACGCCCCGCTGCGATTCACCTAAGTGTGGAGTAAAGTTTAGGACGGGAAGGATTCTGGTTGGTCACCTGCTTGTGATGGCAATTAGAATACACGAATGGTTTTTGTACGATATGTTAATTCAGAATTAAATTTTTCTTTTTGGGCAATATTTGAATTGATGGTGCGAGTCTTTTTTTGTACAGTGTGCAAATCGAACGTGCAAGACTTGCTTGTATGGCGTGCGAATTGAGAAAACAAGTGTTGATGGTAAGATATGCCAATGGAAAGTGCATGCCTTGTACGATATGCGAATGTAAAGCGCATGCTTGTGCAATAAGTGAATCGAAAAGGCAAGTATTCTTTGTACAATATGCAAAATGAGGGTGCTAGCTTTGCTTGTACGATCTACTAATTGAAAGCTCGAATCTTCATTTGGCGATATGTGAATTGAAAGTGCAAGTCTTGCTTTTACGATATGCTATTTGACAGAATTATTTTTTTTTTTTTGTCCGGCATGGCCATTTGGATGTGGGAATCTTGCTCGTACGATATGCTAACGAGAAGCTCCAAGTCTTTATTTTTTTGTTCTGCGCTGCTAAATTTTTGCAATCTAGGACGAAAAAGGACGAAAATCACACACGAAAGGCGCCACTAACAACTGGTTTATGTTTCCTTCCAAAGAAGTATAGACCATTCCATTTAGCGCTCTCTGGGCGGCACCATTTTGTTCGACAGCAGCGCCCTCTCCATACATCCGGGAAATTCAGCGGGTTCGGCGGGGTAAAACGAGAGAGAGGGCACGTGCCCGACTCCGCTAGCAGACGACAAAACGGGAGGTTGCCATTCTCTATCTTTGGGCTGTATCGGCGGGCTGTACGGAACATCGAACTCTCGCTCGTGGCGGCCCTTGTGAAGGGGTTCGCGTTCTTAGAATAGTTATGGCTACTCCAAAATCAGCCTAGAGCTCTCTGTTGTTCTACTTCGGTAAATGATCAACTGACATATCTTTTTTCCGTTACTTAAATAGCAGTTGAGTCAGCCGGCAGTACTACCCTCAACTACTGCGTTTATTGCGGCAGGAGAGCACGTTTTTATTTATTATTTTAGACATCCACTCATGGTCGCTAAAGGCCTACATCAGTACGAACTTTGTATAGTAAAAAAGGTACAACCACCGGATTCACTTCTCGCCGGAGAGACCGGCCAGTCTGATACAGTTTTCCCTATTTTTTTTTTTTTATTTGCACTCAGATAACAGGACTCTGTCAGTCTTTTTTTATCTAGCATAGTAATACCCGATAACTGGCATACCAAAATCTGCGCATCTGCGCTTGAAATTCCCAAAATGATGCGATTTTAAACAGAGTGTGTACGCCGGCCGGATGCTAGGTACTGCCCACTCGGCGGAGCAGACGATATACGGGCGAGACGGGGAGGGCATTTTTTTTTTTTTTTTACCCTCTCTGCTATGACCCTAATGGAACGGTCTATAAAAGAGGGACAGACATAATCAGATCTAACGCAGTCATGCAAGTGTAAAGACTTCTCTTGTTCAGATCTTGGCTGCAGCGGCCAATGCAAGTTTCTGATACCAATCATGATGCGGAATCTTTTTTAGCAAGTCTATTTTATTTTGTTAAGAGAAAGGATGTCGCATCATGATGGGTAGTGGACACGGGCATTAGCCGCTGCAGCCGAGCTCTGAACAAGAGACGTGTTTACACTTGCATGACTGCGTTATATCTGATTATGTCTGTCTTTCGTTTATATTTTCAACGTGTTTTCTTTCAGCCGTGCTTCTTTGGAAGGAAATATAGACCAGTTGTTAGTTGGCGCCTTTCGAGTGTGATTGCCTTCCTTCTTCGTTCTAGATTGTAAACTTTAGCAGCGCAGGACAAAAAATAATAAAAGAATCAACTAGGCCAAGCTCAAGCTTTATTGTGCAAGTCTTGCTTGAACAATATGCAAATTCAGAAGAGCCTGATTCTAGAGCTCTATCTTCAGTAATTTAGTTTTATTTTATAAATTACATAATCCCTATGTATACTAAGTTCGTTTACCGGTACCCAAAACGCCCTCAATAAGAATCTCTTAACCATTTGTGGATGCGTAAAATTTCGTAGCATGTTCTTAAATAAGATGCAAATTTTTATATTCTGCCTGAGACTTCTAAGACATACCAAATTCTGCACATCTAACGATTTTAATGTTCGAACCTGAGAGGGTGGGGGGGGGGGGGGGGGGGATAAATGCTCTGAACCAGGAATGCGACTACTCACCTCGGGAGAGTCGGGGCCGCTCAGAATGTCATCGGCGCCATACTGCTTGCGCCATTTCATGTGCTGCGTAGATCGTACATATTTATTTAAATAAACTCGTTCTTTTTTAAGAAATCCTGACATGACACATTGAGCTTAACATTCGCAAGGGCTTGCGAGATACTTCTAGGATTGCGTATACAGTTCAAAGTGCATATATTATATACCTTTTCCCAAGTTATCAATAACACAAACGGGTGTACATAAGAAAAGCAACAAAAAACTTAGGGAGGGTGGGTTAGCCCTTCTCCCACCTCCTGGAACGTTTTCTATAACATTTTAAAGCCAAGACTTCAAAGAAGCGTTCAAGGACAAATAAACAATCACAGAAAAAGAAAGGATAATTTTATCAAGAATTATATTAATTAGTAATAGTATGTTCACTATAAGGCGAGAAATTTTTAATTTTAATAAAACGCGTGGCAGAGCTTCCAGTCCTGTACTTTATTGTTATGTTCAAAAGCGATTCGATGAGCGATACCAGCCGATATCAATGATAAACCCGTGATGTAACTGGCCCGCGACGCAGCCGACTCATGATGCAAAAGATATTTTAGGGAAATAAAAAAAAATCTAAATGAAATGCTTCGTTGCGATTGACATATCGGTTCTTAAAGGTATATCGGTTCCATCAGGGCTCATAGTACAAAAAATTTAAAAGCGCCGAAAACAACAAGGACCAAAAATAAGCAAGACAACACAAGGCCTTGTACCTCGTGTTGTCTTACTCCCTCTTGGTTTTGTGAATTTTGGTGATTTAACATTTTTTTACCTATGGACCAACTAGCCCAATTAACCACTTTGCCGTAGAACATTTCATTGTTTCTTATTAGGAAATTAAAACAAATAAAAAATTAATTGCATGTTACACCAATGACACGTTAAAAAGGCACTTGATTATTTTTTATAGACTCTTTTACAAAATCCTAGCTTCTACGAAGAGTTAATATCACACGGGGTAAGGCAGCCTTAAGAGAGGGCTGAAAGGTTTGTATGTCTATAAAAAGTGACTTTCCTATGCTTGACAGAGTAAGAAAAAACTTTGAAAGACACTAATGCGGTCAGGGCCGCACTGCAGGCGCGTTATTCGGCCAGGGACTAATCGTCGCGATAAGTCCAACAAAACAACTAAACTTGTACATTTAGCTTTAATTATGGATGTTAAACTTGATGTGAATTAGAAGCTCGGTGACCGCAGTTCAGAACCACTAAATAAATAAATTAAAAAAAGCCTACGAGTGCTTGGAAAGCGACGTGGACCGCAAAGGGACCACTTGTCCCAAGTTCAAGGCTGGCTGGGAAAAAACGCCGATAAAATTAAAAAAAAAAAAAAAAAAACGCGTGGGCGCGTTGAGGTGGGATGTATTTTTGGGACTAAGAAAAAACAAAGTACGAAGCACCAAATCGTTCTACAATTGACTGATTTACTGGTTTTCGATGACTCTTAGCAAGTTTCTATTTAGTGCCGTTCGTTTATTTTGACTCATTAAATAAATTGTCATTTATTTAATTATCCGTCTTACTGTGACGATTAGCCGCCAACATTATGCCTCGCTGGCCATAGTAACTAACCTGCACAGACCGCAATAGTGTAGCTTTCGCTGAACTTTTAGGATTATTCTGCAGAGCCTAGAAGTAAACCCTGTATATTGAACCCGGAGTGCAAAAGCTATTTTAAAGATTAAATTATACTTTCTAAACTATACTACTGAAATTTCGGTCGGTATTATCACTTGCTTGATACTACTTCTAAAATTATAAATTTTCAACTAGCACTTACTATCATGTTGCAAACGTTGACTGACATGATTCTACTTATTATTTTGTGGAGCTTTTACACGTCTGTGGGATCGGTGGCCGAGTGGGCTTGCGCACACCAGCTCGGAGCCCGTGGAGCGAAAGCTCGCTGCAGAACCCAGGGATCCTGGGCTCAATCCCCACCCCTGCCCGTTTCAATCTGAATGAGCATGGTACGGGCGCCCGGTCGTGTGTCACCACTGCGTAATGCACGTTAAAAGCATCAGGCTACCGGTCGTACTGCACTGGCTAAATATTTCATCTACAGCCGAGACAGCAGACGCCCGTTGGGGCTGGCTTACTTCCGGCTGTGTAAACGTACACAGAATAATATTATTATTATTATTATTTTAATTAACGTTTGGTTTGCTAAAACAAAACGAAAAACGGGTTTAAAACTTTCCCAATATTTAACGGATACAACCCTAATACCGCAATTACTCATACCTGGTATTCCAAACACCACGCGCAGTTCTACACATGTATTGATTAAGAATACTGATAAGTATTATTTCTCAGGGACCTTATTAAGCTGAAGCTCCATGCTGTCCTAGCAATAAATAAGGAATGACAATAGGTAGAAATTATAAGAGGTATACTCGTCAGTCAAACTACTGTTCCCCTTTTCGGAAGTTTGCATATGCATCTCTCCCCCCCCCCCCCCTCCCCCCCCTCCCCCCCCCAAAAAAAAAAATAAAAGAAAGGCGAAAATTGCGTAGTGATTTTTAACCCATATTTGGTGGTTGTACGTGCCAAACCAACGAAGGGCATCGGGCAGGCTCCAGCAGAGGACTGAAGATTAATTTCAACCACCTGGGAATCTTTTGACGGGCAACCGAAAGCTCGGTTACACGGCGGCTTCCCCGCAATGAGCCTCCGTCATACTGCGGGCACCTCGGCCGGGATTCGAACCCGCCACCTGGGGAGATCACTAGGCCGGCGCTTTGCCTGGGAGCCACCGAGGCGGCCGGTGGTTTCCAAGTGGTGCTTATTATAGTAATAACTCGGAACGTGAGAACGGCAGGGAGGAGCTTCAGCTGTCCCGACTCCAGCGCCAGCTCCCTACCTTCGGCAACGCTTCGGTGTTTCGTGCCATAGCCTCCTCTATACTTAGAAAGCCTTGCAGTTCGACGACGAAACCATAGAGTGCCCGGTCGCAGATTCGGAGCGCGAGGATCTGGTAGCATTGAACATCAAAAAGCCATTTCTCGGGGAACCTTAACGTCAGTGCACAGCTTTTGCACCGGCGAGAATCCCAAACACACTTGTTCCCTCGGGAGAAGTCTGTTTCGGCGTCTCGTCGGAGCGGGGCGCCAGTCACGTGGTTTTCCTCTCATCCGCTGTCTGCCGCTCCACCTTTTCCATTTAGGCGGCCGCTTCTTTTGGCGATCTGCCAGGCTTTGTCAGTATATAGGAGGCTATGCTCGTGCACACCAAGCACGCACGCGCAGCCGAAGCACGCGGAATAAATGGCGCCCGTGCTGGAGGCCGAGCGTTCAGACGCCACGCCCTGAAGTTCTCATTCTCTCGGCTACTATAGGTTGCCACATTTTCTATTGACGCTTTATCGAAAAGGATATAACTGTTTTTCAATAATTCTTACAAAAGGAATTTCGTGAACTTTGCTAAATTATAGGTGTCTGTTACCCACGGAGGAAAGCAAATGTTTTGCTTATCTTCCTTCTTTTGGCTGGAATGAAGCAATTGCAGAGAAAACAATATTGCAAGCGCGTGGAGGAGGGAGAACAAAAATGTATCAAAGATGCTGAGCAACAGCTGAAGTCAATCAGTGATTTGTGGTGTGCTTCAGGTGTTGATTTTTCTAAAGACAATGTATGGGACAGACGCAACATGTGTTGTAAACCTGAGTTATAGTTTATTATTCCGCTGTCAAAGGAACATTTTTTTTTAATCGTGAGAAATTGAGGAGCGCTTATTGTGGGTTATAGGATCCCTTTCATTTACACTTTTTTGGGGGGGATATTAATGCTAATTTATGTCGGGTTTAAGTAGGAACATGACCATTATCCGGGTAAAACGGAAGAAAAAAAGTAATGACAGAAAAGAAGAGAGGTCAGCCTGGGCAGCTGGTCTCAGCCGGTTACAGATTAATGGGTACACACCTCACGCAACATCTGTTCTGCTTTGTTGACGTTGAAGTCTCGAGCTGCAAAAAAGAAAGAAAACATTAATGAGCTTCAGTTTTGACGAGCGAGTAGGTCAATTAAATGAAGATGACAAGTTAGAACTTCTCTGATGTAACCTTGCAAGATTACAGCCTCAGAAGCAAGACGCCCCGTAATAAAATGGCCACATCACACTCTGAACTATTTAATCGTTATTGGTTACACTTAGTCTCCTAGCCAGATTTTTTTAGAAGTGCGAGCAAGAAAGATGGAACGAAAAATAAACTTTAAAGTCTCTTAAGTTAAATTAATGTCACTTCTGCCTTTATCCGGCTTGGTGTGTTTCGATACTTGTAATTTCTTAGTTAGTGAGCGGTTAAAAAAATGATTGTAGGAATAAATATCTGTTGCAAAGGTTTTGCTTCCTAGATGAATGTCCATACACTTGTTCAAAAGAACCAGTAAGCCAGTTGAAAGGCAATTGGTGACTGGGCAAAACAAGACGGAGTGCGAGGTGATTCTGACAGGGCAACTCCATGCTCACATTTGGGCAGATAATATTAAAGTTTAAGGGCTTACTTTGATGTTCCAATTGTGAGAGATACTTCAGATAACTCGCCTCTATTTTTAGGAGAACTCAGCATCTCAACAACATCACAGAAATGTTGTCGAAAGAGCAGCTTTGTCCTTCGTTCGCACCTGGGTAAAAGCAGAAGCTCAGCTTCCCGCCACGAGTCGAGAACAAAGAGAGCTATCGGTAATTACGTATTATTTACCGCTGCAAAAAAAAAAAAAAAAAGCTTTAATGTTAAGAAAAGGAGGAGCGAAGGAAGAGATAATTTGTTATGTCCTGCTGTGGGCACAGCTGGCTATAACATCGGGAAATGCTGTGATGTCGTCTGCCTAGCGCCTAGCAGGCGATCACAAACTGGAAGAATATCTCCGAGAGGAATTAAAGTTTGAAGTACACCGCGCCCGAGCGTTTTCTCAGTCTTTTATACGCAATTTTATCACTACGGCCTCGTCTCTGTTGCCCGAGTGATAAATTTAGCGCACTACTGCGCTTCCGACACACTCAAAATATTTATAAAGAAGTACCGATTTAGGGGTTTTCGATGATGTTGAGCAAGTTTCTAATGTAAACCCAATGCCTATTTTTACTTATCATAAATTTATTTCACAACTTTGGGCGAATTATTCGACTCATCGTGACAATTAGCCCCCTATATTATGTCCCGCCTGGCACTATTTCTCACCCGCATGAACCACATAAGTGTAGCGTTCACCGCTTTTTTTAAACATATATCTTAAGGTGAAAAAAAAAAAAAACACTGTGTAGAATGATTAATTGTAGCTACTATATTCATAACGTCAACTAGAGAAAGCATGAAACATGCTAATGCCCATCTTGTTGTCTCTCCATATCTTACCACGCGTGGTCATTAATGTGGGAGACTGGGAGGGGGGGGGGGGGGGGGGGACAGCGAAGATTTTAATATCTTGCGCCTTCAGATGCCGCGCAAGAGTGCGACACTGGGGAGTACACACTTATTTATTTATATCGATACCCTCAGGGCCAATGGCATTACAGAGGAGAGTGGGTTGTATTCAACAAGAAAAATTATACAATGAATAACTTAAGGCAAAACACATATTAGTTATGAACAATAGAAATTAGAAACAGCTGTTTCAAACAAATCATCCGCCTGGATTATGGCGATGGAGGTTCAAATCCAGAAAATTTTTGGGAATGAAATATTGTTGGAATGTGTTCGTGATACATAGGGTGGTACACCTACTTCATGTGAGGAGACGTTGGCTGAGGAATGAGTTAGTGTGAAATACTTTATGGTAGAGACACAAACGAGCTATCTTTCGGCGTGATGCAAGACTAGGCAAAGATAAGTTAGATTTTATAGAGGTGACACTTGCAGGGCGTTGATAATTACTGACGATAAAACGAGCGGAACGATTTTGCACAGCTTCCAGGGGGCTAACAAAATTTTAAAGGTTCGGGTCCCAGATAGACGACACGTATTCAAGCATTAAGCGCACAACTGTTTTATAAAGAGTTAATTTCAAAGTGCAGGCAGCTAAAGAAAAATTAAACACAAAATCGGCACTTCTTTTTGGCTTTTTACTTCGAAAGGACATCGTCCGAGCCTTCGGCACCACCTTTTATCACTAAGGTTTGTGCCCCGGAGGAGCCCCCTTTACACGACACATTTAGTTGCAATGGCGGCCCTTCGATTCCAAGAGGAAGACGAAAAAAAAATGGCGATCGTTCGTTCGAGGCTATTAGTGTTGTGCAGTGTACACATTGGAACATCTCGAACTCGACTGTACACATGGTATCGCAAATTTCCTGTCGGTGAGTATATGGAGAGGAATTGAGGAAGAGGAGGAGAGCGCACGGGTGGACGTCCTCGCCCGCTCTGGTCTCCTCCCCTCCCTCGGCTTCTTTCCGTATAGACCGACGCACTGCTTCCAAACAAGCCCGCGCTCGCCCACAACAACCGCACGAGCGCAGGACCACATTCGATGAGGTGAAGCTTCTGAGCATGCGACAACAGCGCCACCGCAGAGGCTTGACGTCACAGCCGCGCGTTGATCTATGCGACTTACCTCGGAGCCACCTCAGAAGGTAGCGGTCGTCGTGCTTGTCGTTCAGCAAGTCCCTGACGGCTCCTTTGAACTGGAAGGAAAAACAAAATATGGTATAGTGGAAGAATTTCTAAGGTATACTTTCTTAAGACAGCGCAGGTAAGCATGAAGCACCATTAAAACAACTTGCACGACCCTCTAAATTTTTGTAATCATTAGAGAGGTTTAGAATAGGGCCCCCAACGTCTGGGTGCCTCTAAGAAATCTCGGGGACCCAAAAGCAACCACGTTAGCCCTGCCGCCCTATATGGTTGGGTTTTTGCAGCGCAGCTCAGCGTGCTTACGTTACCTGTTTGCAGCGCCAATGCGGGAAAAATGCGTAAAAACGAAAAAGAAAAAATTAATAAAAAGCGTAACACATATGCGCTTAGCAACTACTCTTTGTTTACAAATATAGTGGAGGTAATATCATATCAAGCCGGCTGAAACACGAGGCAACCTAAAATTGGTATAAATATTGTTAGCTGCTTTCACCCCAAACAATCCAATCCGTGGCCTTCTAATTTGGCGCTCGCATCAGATTGTTTTTTTTTTTTATTTGTGTGCCGCGTTGACCGTCTGTCGCCGAACAATTAGGAGTTCGATTATACCGAAACTGAGACGAACGCAAGCGAGCATAATCTGCGAGGAGCTGCTTTGTTTAGATCTGAGCTGGAGAGACTTTAAAGTTTTGAAAGACTTGTTTTTAAGCTACAGGTAACCTGCCACGAACAAAATCCGCTCGGAGTCTTAGATTAACGAGGCGTTGCCATGTAAACAGTTAACGTGTCTCATTATTTACAAATATAGTTAAGGTAACACCAAATCAAGCCGGCTGAAACATAAGGCAAACTAAAATCAGTATAAATATTGTTATCTCCCGATATGAGACTGCACTTTGATGCCTACAAGACAATGTTATTTCTGTGATGGACTTTTTTTTTTTCATAACTTCACTTTTATTAACGCGCAAAAAACATAGCTTGTATATGTTCATAACCCACACGAAGAGGTTGTTCCCCTACCGTTCCTTCTTCATTTTTCTCGATGTATAGACTGTCGGTGTACTCCCATTCCGTTGTTCAACCGTCTAAAGTACTTAGCTGTTATTTTCGAGAGTGACATGACTTGGAATAGGCATCTAGTATTTTTTTGCAATAAACTTCGTGGCTTATCCTGTTTATTTTACAATTCACGTTCTTTGCTTCCATTTCCGATTTGTAAGATGATTGTTCATGCCCTTCATACAATATTTGCAATATTTGTAGGCATGGAATTAGTGTATTTTACCATTGTTCTTCTACCTGGCGTGCGAAGGTTAACTCTATTTTTTTTTTTAAATGTTCTTCAGAGCATGACTTATAAGTTAGACATTCCACCTGAAGCGAATCTGTTTTCTTTTCCGCAATTTCCTTTTTTTGATGCATTGTTTTTTCATTTCGTTATTCCTAGGCACTTTCGGTAAAATGAATTCTTGCATCATCATGTACCCGTGAGAGTATTCGGGCACAGTGCAGCGTTTTCAATTCCTAGATGTTGTGCTCGCTTTGGTGGTTTTCGTAGAAACTCTTATGTTCCTTATATCTTTATTTTTTGCCTGATCAGATATTTTCTTTGACGTCGAAGCGTGCGCTAAAATTGTATCTGCGAAATAACTTTTGGTAGTTAATTTGTTTTCTTCGTATTCTTATTAGGATTTGTCTTTTGGTTTCTCCGCTTATGTTGCTGGCTGCCGGGTACAGCCAGACAAGTCCCCGAGACTTGGGCAGACCCGACCCTTATTTGTATTTTTATCTGCAATAAAGTTATTATTATTCTTAGGCGTAGTAACCGGCCTTGCGTAATCATGGCATTCATTCTGTCAAATATATTTATTATTATTGTTATTATCATTATTATTATATATGGACTTTAAAAAGATTAAGTGCTCTCACTCACGCTACGTTGACGTCATGTGTTAGTGTTTCCCTAGCGAGAATTTTCGCGTGTACCTAAACGACGACTACGCTTAAAAGAACATTGGTGTATGTAAACCTGAATGTTTTAATAGGGCAAACTTGCGCCATAATGAAAAACAAACCGTACAATCTGCAAAGGCAACGAAAGAGTGATTCGATGGATGTAGTTGGTCAAAGTTTCCTTTAAGCTAGTAAATTCTCTATTCTCCCAAACAGAAACACGCAATACGTTTCAAGATTATGCTTGAACGTTGTAAGAGATTATCAAGACATAAAATCAGGAAATAGGCTAGTGGGGCTTAAACAGCGTGCATCTGTGTTGGAGCAGCGCGCGATACCAGATGGTCCCACGCACGCGGCAATGTATATATGCCTAACCGTGATTTCATGCAGGATTATCTTACCCTACCTTATTATACATTGAAGAAAGGCTACAATGATAATCTAGAAGCTTCTGCGCCCCCTATTCCGTAAGGTTCTCTAGCCGACCTGTATGACTTCAGTGACCATCATCGCAAAGCAGCCGCTCTATATTCCTTCGAATGCCCTGCATTCGCTTCTCAGATCCGGTCGTGAGTAGGTCGTCACAAATGACGCAACGTTGGGGCAACTAGAACGAAGGATCCACCTGTTTTGAGGGCATCGTTGCGCAGCTGCAATTCCGACCGCCCGAAGGAGCTGACCATTTCCCAACTCCATTCCGTCTAGTCTGGGCACTTTGCCAACTAAATAATCTCTACACAACACACTAATTGACAGGGTGTAAATCAGCTTGTCCCGGCGCTAACACCTCGTATGTGTTACAGCAACAGCGAACAGCTTAAAATTGGGGTGCTGTTCATTTTAGCAGTATCCTAGAATTATTTTTGAGGAGCATGAAGTCTACAAGCGATGAGCATCACACTGAGATCTCGCATACGAAGAAAGAGCAAATACAGATGTAAACAGTCTTGTACGGAACGGCGTTCCAAGGAACGGCGTTCCTGGAACGCGTTCCTTTTAGGAGGAACGAAGGAACGCCGCCGTTCCATTTTGCATCGCTGGAACTGGAACGGGAACGCGTTACATTTTTACTGGAACGGAAAAAGGAACGGCGTTCCTTTTATCGTTCAGTGGGGTAACTTTTATTTTGTTTTTAAGAGGGAACTTTCTGAAGTATAAAAAAACATCTTTACGGAAATATTGTTTTTAACTCGTTAACTGTTTAGTTACTTATCTTCGAATTTATATTGTGTGGTCCTCTCTTGGTAACAGTTGTTTGCAGGACAGCTAGTGGACATCAATGATTCTTTTTTGAGTGCCCGAGACTGTGGTACAGAAAGCAATACTTTTAGTCGCACGAAAAGATACAAAGAGGGACGTTTCAAACTCAGCTACTTTATTTGCTTCCACGAATCCTCATACACCCAAAAATCTAGGGCCCACTACAGCCATTTCGGAACTTTCATAAAGAGACATGCAGTTACAACAAAATCACAGGTTACCAGACATCGAACGCACCCTTGTATCCCGAACATTGATCACTTAAACGATACACACAAATTAGCCTTTATTCCTTCTCCCCTTGTCCCCCACCTTCAAACTGAACAACGAATCAAACCTTCACAAGGAACTATTTGTAGTTTTCAAGACCGACCTTTCAAAAAAACTAACCACTTCTTCGCTTCTTCGCATTTTGGAAAGCAACACCAAGAAGCAACTGTTGTTAAGTTTGAACAAGAGACTTCGTTATATTGAAACGTGTGAGGTTCTTGTAAAAATCTCATGCAATGTAGGGTAACAGCATATTTGACTCGTCTGAACCGTTCACCAAAAACATGAATATGGTTTAAAGCAGAGATTTTTCAACTTGAATTTATCAAGAAATAAAGCCTTAATTACACTTGTCTTCTTCTCCTGGTGCCCTTCCATCACGACATATAAATTCAGATGTTCCCATTGGATGGGATAAAAAAATGGAAACTTTGCTTGATCTAACCAAGTATGGTAATCAGCAAAATACAAATGTAACGAATAAGTAACGATACGTTCCATTTTTTTAACTGTAACGGGAACGAGTTCCTTTTTCACAGATGGAACTTGTAACGGGAACGCGTTCCAAAAGTCAGAAGGAACGAGGAACGAACTTTCGTTCCTTTTTTTGTGGAACGTGTACAACACTGGATGTAAATTACGCTCTAGAGACACGACCCTGTTGACTGCTTTACCGCCTTTTAAATTCGACAATTCAAAAACAATCATTCGCTGGTGACCGTTTTAGCAGTTACAAAGGTTACTGCTCTTCTTTGCTATGTAAGTTCAGGGAATGTGCTTACCTCCTAGTGAAAAGCACTGGTACTGGCAGTAATTATTGAAGATAGTCGCTAAACAGTCCTCATTAAAGCTGTTTCAAGCGGATGTCAGTGTGGGAAACACCATTTAAAAAGGTGTTTTGCCTTTAGTTTGCCTCATTCCCCCTTAGCGCTCTTTTCCCCAACCTTTTTACACCTTACAAAGGTAAGGGATGATCCATGACATAGCATCCAGTTTAATGATAACTCAGAACGTCCTGTTTGCTGGTTATTGCTTGAAATTCGGAGCACAAGTCTGGCTCCTCCTTTCGCAGGAGTTGTGGTGACGTCGGAACGTTGACCTCTGATTGGCTCCGAGTTCTACCCACTATCCTTCCATCAGAGCCAATCAGAGCTTGGCGTTCTGACGTCACCAAGACCCCTGCAAAAGAATGAGACGAACTTGCGTTCCGCATAGGTTTACTGAAAGTCTCGTGATGGGTGTAAAACACTGGAACACAATTTCAACCGCTTAAAGAAACACTGACCCTAGAAAAAATATCTGCTTTTTTTTCTACCTAAATTAAGAGAGGCATGTCTCAGAAATAATGTTCCCGAAAAAAAAAAAGTTTTCCTTACTATTTATGTTATGATACGAAATTCGCTGGACCTCAGTGTTGCCTCAGAGCGTACACCAATTGGGTGCAAACCATATCATCATCATCGCACGAGGGTAGAGTTTCGGCTTCGCCCGCAAATCGAAAAATTCGTACTGTAACACAAATAATGGGTTTAAAAAATTTTTGACGCACATTATTTTTGAA